GTGTTGTTTTATTAATTTATTTTTATTGAACTTTCTAACAGCTCGTAATGTGATTAAAAATCGTTAAGGAGATTGTGATGTTCGTGGTATCTATTGGAATGTTGTACGCGACTATACTAGTAATATCAACTCGGTTTTATTAACTGTTTAAAAAATAAGATAGACGAAATTTTAATTTTATACTACATTACAGATTTTATGCAAATAATGCATGTTGTAAATATAAAATCTTGATAGCAAGCATTTGTCTTGGTGTACATTAATTAGTTTGAAGTCGAGTCGCATTATACATTAATGAGGAATTATAATGAAGCTGGGATTACACGGTCGGAACTTTAAATTAATAAATTATAATAATCATATGCAATGCCCTTAATACGGCGTCTTAAGTGGCCACTAGTTTATTGAATGTAACTTTCCAATGTATAACAGCTTTGTGATCGAACCGTTTTGATAAAGTTTTGCTTTTGAATCATTTGTTACGGCCTCCTTTCATTGTCACAGATGGTAACATAAATACTTTTTAGATCTAAATAATCGACTATTTTCAAATTTTGGGATTTGAACATAGAACAGAAAAAAATAAGAACGCAGCGTTTTAATTAACAATTGTACATAGCTGTTCTATTAAAGTAAAATTAAATATTTTTATGCCAACTAAATAAATACATTGAAATAACTGTTGACTAGATATTTCTACGTACATTCACTTATCGATATCAAAGACTTCCTAGACCTAAAGATTACTTAAGAACAAATTATGATAATTATAGGCATGGCTTCGGTTCCGCGTTATAGACCGCGATTTTTTGCAAGTCACTTTTAGAAAAAAAAATAACTTTAATTAATTATACGGTAATAACTCTTAAGAACACTTAATTAAATAATGTTTGCTAATAAGCCTTCGTTTAGTCGTAAAAAACTTTGAATTGTTAAAGTTCCTAATTAGGTATACACATAAACTTTACGGAATATTTTATTTTATAGTCCGTCATTGTTTTATTTTTTATATATATGTATAATAAAATAATAATATCATTTTTATATATAATCTGGTTTTTAATTATTATTTTTGCACGTGATTTGGTGAGTTTTGTTTGAAGCTCTACCGTGTATAATTTAATAATAATTTTTATTATATTTTTATAGCTCATTTCTTAAATTTGGTTGGCTATATATTTTAGTATGTGATTGCGTTGAAAGATAATGCTTTTGTTTTAATTATAAAAGTGTAAAATAGCCCAACTCTTTATCTGTCTTTACTCTAAATAGCCAATTTTTTTGGACTGACTTATTTTTTTTACTTTTGACAATATACTAATACAGAGTCAAATCTATTTCATATGTCAAAACTAATTCCAGTGCATATAAAAAGGATGAAGATAAGGAAGAAACAAGTGAAGAAGAGAAGGAAGAAGAAGTAAGCCGAGGTAAATTCACGGGTGAATTTTCTTTCTCGGGAGGAAGAAAAATGTTTTCTTAATTTTTGAATTGATTATTATTGTCAAATAGTCTTTGGTTTTTTTTAAACGTCAATAATACAAGAATTTTGGGTTAAAGAATTTATGGAAAAATAAATCATTAAATGTCGTTTCTTAATTTTAAAAAGCAACACATTCGTTTTATTTCATTCTAAATCATAAGATTTAGTCTTATATATACCTATACCTACCAATTTATCACATAAGTGTTATTTGAAATACCTAAATAGTTTTATTATATGTAACTATTTACTACAACCATGCATGTACCTCTAGTTTTAGGCACTATGATAGAAACTTTTTTAATTCCGCTCAGTAGAAATAGTACTACCTACAGCTGTTATATAACATCCATTTAACTTAATTCCTCCAATAATCTCATAAATAATATTATCTGCATTTTACACTATACTCATATCACGACCAAGTGCAACAAAATCAATGATAATCAAAATTCAATCAAAACAATAAAAAATGTTAGTCGCAAGAGATTTGTGACGGTCGGTCACACAGCGGACATCGGAAGAGGTCACATGTATTATGATACCGGCACCACACTTCGCATATTCTTAAAGAAAATCCATCTTAACACAATTTGAACTTTATATTAATGAATGATACGGTTTAATTTATATTGAGCGTGTAGCAAGTGACATAAATGTCCGGATCGAGTTGCATCCCCTCGCCCCCGCGTTAGTCTCCCTCTTGCATACACCTGCGTGACGTTTGACCCAAACAAGGTCGAAAAATAGCATCGTAAAGCCTTTATTTCGTTGTATTAAGGCATATATTTAGTGTTTTATTAATACAACAATTTGTTAAACGGATGTTTAATTAGAAACTTTAGATTTATCTGTAGTCTGCCCGCGGACATGACGTGCATAAGTAATTAGTGCGATTTTACATAAATTAAAATAATACTACAACGGATTTTTCAATTATTTTAAGTACTTGTACAGTATATATATACATATATATGTGCACTATTTTGGTCAATAATATACTAAACCTACACATAAAGTCGGTAGTCTATCTTTGCATAATGAACGTATAATGTAATACTTTTAGGTTTCATATTACTTTTACCAATTTTAAATCAAGACTGAACTAGATCGCGCGCTGTACCGTGACGGTGACAAAATATTTACCTTAATCTGTCAAACACCAAGCGGTCACCGGTGACCGCGACCTATTGTTCTTTAATTGTGTCTATAAAACCGGTACTCGACGAGTTAAATAAATACGTTGCCTAGTATACCTAATTTTAGGTGTCATATAACACGAATCTTATTCTAATACATAACGAACGAAATCTAACATTCATAAAGCCAACATATATGTATGAGCATGAGCGTTGCCGAAATTAACACCTTGACTACCGACAGAAAAATGTTGAAGGCAAATGCTACGCTAACGTAGGTGACACACCGGTGTCCTACGCGGCGGTTAGCGTATTAAAATCATAGAGTTATAAGAGATCCAAATATAGGCATACCAGGACCTATGAAGCACATCCACTTATAAATAAAAATAACATATTTTTTTTTGGTTATGTTATAGGTTCCGTATAAAATGGAAAAAGATTATCGCAATACAACAAGCACAATTTTAAACCCTGTGTTATGAGACCTAAAATTTCAATTACATGTTTATTTCCTAGGCTTATTTAACCCAAATAATTCATAACATCACGCCTTTTATCCCCGAGGAGGTAAGCAGAGGTACACACAGAAGTGACACCCACTTTTCACTATTTATGTTATGAGTCCCATGTAATTGGGGGTGAGCCTATTGCCATATACCGGGCACAATTCCAGACTCCGTGCTACTACTGAGATTTTTTTTAAAAGCCCACTTATTCTTTAACCCAAATAAGAACAATAAATTTGCGATGTATTTATAGAATAACTTTGCCACAAAATTAAGATGTCTAACACAAGACTAATGTTTAAAGCACCTATTTGTTAAAACCTATTTTATTAAAGCAGTATTAGGTTTGTGGGCGTGACAAAATATTACTCGTTAAACCCATTCCAAATACAGATTTACACAAAACTTTATGGTATCAAGTTGTAATATGTTTTCGTATTACAAAATTATAGAAAATGGTTTCCAAATAAAATAATCTGTAAACACTAAGAGAAAATTCAATAGTAGAAAGTTTTCAATAAAAATAGATCATTTTTTTAAGTTAAAAATCGATTTAAAGTTTATTCTATAAAGGTAAAGTACTACTCCACAATTTAAATAAGGGTTTCAGTAATTTTAATTACAATGTACAATAAATTAATACCTAACTCATTACTTATGTAAATTACATACATAAAATTATCAAGATATTCCATAAAGTGCACAATCTTTGATACAAGACACGCATTATTTAAAAAAAAAGCAACGAGGCACTTTCGTATGCATAATAAAGTAGGCAAATGATTGAATTGTACATTCAGGAACGTTAAAAAAGCCTGTGAACGGCAAACCGTCACTCAAAGCACATTTAACACGTAAGTGCATTACATAAGTTATCGTGTTTATCACAATCGTTTCGAGGTAGTCTCCTTAATAGACACCCTGGGTCGCATCGTCGCGTGACTGTACACTGTACGCGCCACTTTATCGCGGTTCCCAGCAATCGAACTAGATCAAATTATAATACCGTGCCTCTTTCATAATGAGTACCGCGCTACTATTACGGACTTGGAGGAAAACGTTTAAAATCCGTCTCGGGAAAAGATGAAATAATAAGTGCATTGTCGTTGATGTCTTTTCTTAAATGCTACGACGTAGCACTCCCGTAGGCGAAATTAGTGATGCCCTATTTTCGTCGATTTTTTTTGTAGCTACACAGTTTTTGACGTTATTAAAATATTCGGTTTGTTTTTTTGTATTATTTAGTTATAGGCGTAAGTTTTACATAAAGTGTAGTGTGTGCTATAATTTTTCCTTATTATGAAACCTAACATTATCGCGATTAGTTTTACTAATTGCAAGTTTTGCGTCATATTGTTTTTTTTTATTGCAAGTTACATGTGCTATAGTAATATAATTCTCTCAGTTTAATGATACTAAAAATATATTTAGCTTAGTAATGTAGGTAATTAAAGTCATTTGACAAAAGAGACACCGATAAGGACTTATTCGCCACTAACAATTGGAGGCAAAGATGTCAGTAACTTTTTGTAGAAATAATAATGTTAACTTATATTTTACCAAAAACATTATCAAAGATACTACCTACTACACGCTTCTCTTAAAGCCTGGTAGTGAAGGGCCACTATACTACGACCTAATATTGTCATGCTGCATTCGGATACTTGGTTTAAACTGTCAAACACCAAGCGGTCACCGGTGACCGCAACCTATTGTTCTTTAATTGTGTCTATAGATACGGTACTCGACGAGTTAAATGGAACTGAAATTAACCTGAGATACACGTGCTCCCAGTTCATGTGTTTACCTACTAAGGCAGATACTTGACATAGTCGTCGTAGATATCTTTATGAGGGGTGTGTAACGTACCTGGTGAGTCAGTGGCGGACCTGTCGGAGTCGGAGTCCCTGTGCGCGCTGAGGTCCCTGGGGGGCGCGTCCAATATATCCGTGATCATGAAGCGCGTACGGGGCGCGCGCGCGTCGCGCTCGTCGCGCTGCACCGTCATCGCCAGCGCGCCGCCGGCGGGGCCCGCGCCGCCGCCGCTCGCCGCCCCTACCGCATCCAGCGCTCGCCACCCCCGCCCCACGCACAGCTCGATGGCCCCCAGCTCGCCGCACTCACAACGACATCACACTCCCAAATTATTAGCGAAACTATTTCTTCTATCTTAACACTTTACTAACTCAAGTGTTTCCGAACTCGCATCGCCGGCGCACTAAGTTCGAGTCCTCCTTGCAATAAAAGTCAAGTGCTCCCAAGACTCCGTTAAGTAAAGATATCAATATTATTTTTCACTTTTCTTCCCAAATATTTTCAAAGTTTATTTAATTTATTCCAATTAAAATTCATATAAACAGTTATCAGGCACAGAGCAACAAAGTTTGCACACTTATAGTTCCCACGAAATAAAGTTTACTGCGAATTGCCGAGCGTTGAACAGCAACACAGCGGACGTGTATCGCGCGTCGGTGATCGCGAGTGATATGCGCGGGCGCGGCGTGGCGGTGTGTACGTCGCGCGCGACGGGCTCGGCTCGACTGCCGCCGGTGGGCAGGAGGCGGGCCCGCCAATGGCGCTGCGGGAGGGAGCCGGGCCAGCCAACCGCCGCCCGCCGCCGCGGGGCGTGCCCCGGCCATGTTGCCGCATCAACTTAATGCTCTTTTTACCAACTCGCCGCCGGGAGAAAGCTCCGCGCGGATTTAAGCTTTTATACGTGGATAAAACGCTTTTATAGGAAAATAAAGCGTTCTCGCTGCGGGATATCGCACTTTATGGCGGCGTTTTACTGAAAGTTGGCGACACTACACTCTAGTAATTGGTTCACGCCCGCCAAATTGAGGCTAGCGTGTCACTACAGCTTTGTGCCCTGGCATGAATAACTTACATTTATAAAACAAACTCGTTACTTATTTCTCTCTAGTTTAAAATATTCTTAACGTAAAATATGTTTCGATTCGAATAAATTTTGGTTTCTAAGTTTTTGACATGTACCACTCCTGAAATGCATTTGGACATTTAGTATTCCTATCGAGCAAAGTATCATGTATCATGCGCTTTTGAAACGTCAAAAATTTAATTGTCCGTCCATCTGTCTGTCAGTAAATCCAGGCGCTTGTTCCAAAGTGTGGTTTCGAATGGAGAAGAATGAGAAAGAAACTACATCGTTACTCTCTTAAAAAATATATTTACAGTCTCATTGATACATTGTCAAATAGTACTCAAGATATAAAATCGTGTGTGCCTATATCAAAATATAAAAACACAGATGTACCTACATGCAATTAACATAAAACTGGGAATTATAAATCGAGAAATATAGTTGGACCACCATGCACTACTGCTCGTCAAAGGAATTTAATGGTAAACGTACCTTTTATATACATTTCTTAAGTGTTTTAATCTGAAGACAAATTTTTTTCCCATAAATCTATAGGAACCTTTACGCACACAGAGTAAAAATCTCACATCAGTTTAAGTGGAGGGTCATTGAACTTGATAGATGCTAAATAGGAGGGTTTTTTTGAGGGGGAAAATCATCATTGTATTTATTACATTCTAATGGCAATCTGTGTCGCGGAGAACCTAACGGGTAACCGGGGCTCCGGCTCGACGTGCAGGAGAAGGAACGGGGTGGTTTTTAGTCAGTAAGAGTCTGACACTCCCTCCCGCCTCACCCAGGCGGGAGCAGACATTCGATGATTTTCCCCCCTTAAAAAGAAATGGCAATCTGTGGACAGTGTTGTGGGGTGCATTGTTGCCTCAAATGTATCTTGTGTAAACTATGTAGTTGGTTAGACTTTATAATGTAACCGTTTACTGTTCCTCATAAAAAAAAACATATAAAAACCATCCAATGACGACTCGCGCCTTGGGTTAGGCGAGAGGGAGTGTCAGACTCTTACTAGTCTTATATTACCGACTAAAACCACCCCGTTCCTACTTCTGCTCTTCGAGCCGGAGCCCCGGCAACCCGTTAGGCCTTTCGCTAAATAGGTAGGTAACATTCATTTCTAAAAGTTTAACGGGTAATTGTATATCAAAACAACTCTACGTATTATAACTAATTAAAATTAATAACACCCCTGAGATTTATATTTTTCTACTATCGTCTGGCTCCGCCTGCATTATCAGAATAAAAAATAGCCTGTATGTTATACCAGACAATATCTAGGTAATGTAGATATCATCTGATATACGTTTAGCAGTTATATGACTACGTCTTCACAAACTACTGGCTGCCTCGTTGGTCAAGTGGTCGCAAGTGCGACTGCCGGGCAAGGGGTCTCGGTTCGATTCCCGGGTCGGGAAAAACTATCACTGGGTTTTTAAAAAAAAATCTCAGTAGTAGCACGGAGTCTGAAATTGTGCCCGATATATGGCAATAGGCTCACCCCCTATTACATGGGACTTATAACATAAATAGTGAAAAGTGGGTGTTACATTGTACAGTGGCATAATGTGCACTTCTGCCTACTCCTTCGGGGATAAAAGGCGTGATGTTATGTTATGTGTCTTCACAAACTTTCATATTTTCCTATAGGATATACTTACTCTTTATGTCGTTGGTGGAGCCTATGTTCAGCAGTCTTGTGGCTAATAGGTATGATGATCATGATGACATCCAAGTACCTATAACATAATATTTATAGGATAGTAGGACTTTGAAGTTACCAGACATTTTCTTATAAGAAAATATCAACCTTACGACTTAAATTAAGACTCTGAAATGCAATTTACTTTAGTTTTAACTAATCTATATATTTCAGTCTTTAGTTATTTGTATTTTAATTTGTTTATATTTATTCACAATTAAGTTAAGTTTATTATTAGTACTCATTAATTAAAAATATATATAAATAAAAATGAATTTCCGTTCGTTAGTTTCGACAAAACTCGAGAACGGCTAAACCGATTTGGCTAATTTTTGGGCTTGAAATGTTCGTGGAAGTCCAGGGAAGGTTTAAAAGGTGAAAAAGAACGGTACGAGGTACACCAGGTCGGCTAGTTTTAAATCTATATATATAAAAGAAAGTCGTGTTAGTTACACCACTTATAACTCAAGAACGGCAGAATAAATTTGGCTGAAAATTGGTAAGGAGGTAGCTTAGAGCCAGGAGATCGACATAGGATATATTTTTGACCAATTTTTTTTTTATTTTTTACCGAAAATCACGAACGGGGACGGGAAAAAATGGGATTACGCGTACGAAGTCGCGGGCAGAAGCTAGTATATTTATATACATCTAGTCTAGTTCAATAAATATACAATATATGAGGTTGGTACTATTAAAATTTATCTAAACGTTTAAACTAAAATAAAATAGAACAATACAATTATTACATTTATGAACAATACGTATATAATATGTATTGAATAGTAATATTATATTAAATAAACCGTTTTGTTTTGTTATAAATTTATCAATATTAATAGTTGTGCAGGAATATGCGAATATCGAATGGATCTCGTTTTCCTGTGTTGCGGTTTTAATCTACTTGGACTTATTTACCTAATATTAGCGGCCATATTAGTTTTACCGGTTATTTTATTTAGGACGTTGGGTAATGTGAAAAGAAAAGTTGATGAAATAAAATGCGATGACTTGTATGTGTAATTGTTTTTATAAAACACACGAACTTTATAAAAAAAACTGTGCCAGCAAACAACTATGCCTATTCATTTCTCATTTAACACGTTAAACGCCATGGGGGTCACCGGTGACCGGCGTTAGCGGAGGATTTACCTTTAACAGTTTTTTATTGGCAGTCAAAGTCTTAATTATTAACTAGACATAATTATCTATTAGTAGTACATAGTTTTCTTATACTTCAGTTATTCGTCAAAGGTAGGTAATTACCTACATTTTGTTTTTCTTTGACATGTTTAACTAAATGTAAATAAAGTAGGTGCCTTCCCATTCACGGTTTTCTCACGTAATCAACGGATAAAACTATCCTTACAATCTTTTAGCATACAAATGATACCAAAAAATTCACTGCGTCACAACGAAAAGAAAACAGAGAATAGAAAATATAATTTAAACTACTAATTAAATATTGATAAGTAATATAATATTTTCAATTAATTATACTAGTATTAACAGTTTGCAGTTTTAACTTTAGAAATGAGACTACGCTTTTAGTAAAATCAAAATACAAGTGAATTTCACGAAATAATTAAGTATCATTTAGGTATACATAATCCGGAGCAGGTCTGTTGAGAGGTACCGGTACTCCTTACAAGTGCTGAGGGAAACCACCACTATAATATTCTCGTAGGTAAGAAATCAAATATTGTGTACCTGCAAATTTAATACCCGCTATTTATAGACGTCCCTATTCTAAAAGTGCCTGTAACTGTTTCCTTCAGTGAAGTAATCACATAAAGTATTGTTCTGTGCCGGAATCGAACCCACGTCTAACCATTGCATCATCAACATCATCAACAGCCTATAAATACCCACTTCTGAGCAAAGCCTCTTCTCACACGGAGAAGGTTTGGGCATTAATCACCACGCTTGCTCATTTCGGGTTGGCGTCCAACCCGAACACACACACACACATCACCCGAATTCTTGCGAGTTATGTATGAGTATGAACATAGGTTATGTGATATGTCATTGAATTCCTGGGTAAAAATAAAACAAAAATTCCACTATCGCTATTTAAGTAAATTAGGTATTGGTGATTTTAGTGGGGTATAAATCTCACAGTCCCCCTAGTCTTTCTCTTCAAAAAGCTAGGTGCGTAAAAAAGTTATTTTCATCAACAGCCTATAAATGCCCACTGCTGAGCAAAGCCTCTTCTCACACGGAGAAGGTTAGAGCATTAATCACCACGCTTGCTCAATGCGGGTTGGTGATTTCAAACTTATAATTAGAAATTATAAGCCCAGGTTTCCTTACGATGTTTTCCTTCACCGTTTGTTAGTGGTGTCTAAATAATCTTAGAAAGTACATATAACTCGGAAAAAGTCACATTGGTACTTGCTGTTGGTAGGTTTCG